AATCCGTGTAACTGAAGTAAATACATGTAAACGAAAAGTCTCGAGACATGTAACGATATTTCACGTTACTTACGCGTCTCACAGACAGACGCGACAGACGCAATGACAATCCGCGGCGAAATCGTACGACCCAGCCGACGTAGCTGGGTTTCTGGCGACGCCGGGCGTCCCGCTCATATCCAGGCCAAGATTTTGACACATGGCCACTTTCTCGTGCGACCGAACGATACGTGGGCTCGAAAACGGGCGACAACGTCCGCGTGTTTGCCGTAAATGGCGTCGTTTTCCACGGCGGAGGTCGCCCCAGAGTGTACGCGTCGCGACGAAGGGGAACGAAGCCGATAAGTCGCTCGACATCCGATTCGGAGGCGGGATCGCATCAGTGGGCGCCTCGAGACGGAAGGAGACATTCGCCCGTTCTCGATTTTTAAAAAGGAAACAGACAACTTCGAAATAGAGGGATTTCGCGAAGGCAAATTTTTACGTAGGACCGATCCGTTTTTGGGGAATCCATCTTTGACGATCTATAATTCGCGATGGAATCCTTTCCAAAATTAAAATTCCGTTCCGCGAATATGCAGATATTTTCTAGCTCTGTCAGAACTCGATATTTCGTTGTGTAACTACGCGAAGGTCGTACCAATATCATTTTTCTTCGCCTACTCTGCTTCTTATTGCAGTTTATCACGCGAACGATATATCGCCGATGGCTACGTACTCCGCGATGTCTGTTTCTCATTCGACTGCTAAACGTTACACAATGCGCCACGTCGGTGCCATCGATGCCATTTAAAGGCAATAAAGACCCCCCACCTCACTTAATGAAGAAAGGATCGAGAGCCAGAAGTTCGCAGTGAGCACTCGCCTAAAACGAAACGTTGCGTGGGCCGTACAAGGAGATCTCGTTAGTCGCTTTTGTATAGTCGCCACATCGGCAAAATGCAGTGAGTACGAAGCGATCCAAATTCAGAACGATCCATCAAGAGAACTGACTCTTGAAAGTTAAAAGTAAAAATAGGAGTCAAATCGCTTATCTCCAACACGCGCAAATAAATTGATGACTCCTGCGCGAAGAATTTTTCTTGCCTTGTAACATTCTATAGACCTGAATTACGAATTACGCGTATAATATACAATATAACATAATACCTACCACTGTATAAATTATACAATAATTAATATTTAACTTAATTAAATATTGCGAACTATAAGCGAGCTCTAATTGTTCATATTGTTATTACTATTATAGATTATGTATATTTCTTATGTATATTTCTTTATTAAAATTAACATTATGTATTAGCAAAAATGTATCATTGCTTCGTTGCTTGGGTATGACATTAAAATTTATATTTGCCGCTCCTTTGAAGGGCTACCACAGAGAATTGGTTAAAAGGATCGTACGCGGTTACGCCCACGTACGCTTATTCGGGCAATCAAAGTAAATCGAAGTCCGCGAAATAATAAAGCTGATTAATTTATCGTTAAATGCCCGGGGCGCAGTAACTTTCGTTGATTTCCTTACGGTGCTCGAAGGGACGAGACGGCTTGGTGTGTTTTATCGTTATGGGCCGCGAGATTAAGGACTTGGGCCCGTCTCGCGAGGCGCGCTCGTGGGTCCCGGCGTTTCTCGGGTGTCCTCCCTTGTCGTTTCGCGAAAGACGAAAAAGGAGGAAGTGAAGGAGCTCGCGAGGGTAGAAGAGGGACGGAGGATCACTTGATCGAAGCGAGAAACCACTTGCCCATATTTGGCTACACCCGCTGCATTCTACATTCCGTGTCGTTTTGTTGCTGCTTCTTCGATCGCCTGTACACCTATATGCTCCTCTGCTGCATCGGCAACCGTGTCTGCAACCTACATAGTGCTCTCCCTGTGAATTTCTTTTTTGCACCGATGACGTAATTCTGCTGTTTCTCAAAGTTTTCTAGAATATCCCGCGATAGAAGGAGAAACGCCGGAAACTACGAAAACGAGATTTTATGATCCTTTAAATAAAGACAAATTTTTTCATTTAATGATTAAATATTTAGTCAGGAAATATTAAGTTTAAAAGTTAAAGGTGCGTGATATAATCTTCAGCGTCTTGTAATATACTGTAATAGAATCTCGAAAAAGTAATAGCAATTTAACAAGGAAACAAAATCTCGTAAATAATAAGTTTTCTAATAAATTTATTTTATATAAATAAATCCATGAGAGGAACAAATATTATAGCTCATAAAGAAACTTCGTTCTCCTCAATTGACTTGGTTAATATTAGCAACATGGGAAGAGAAAATTGTCGGAAGTAATACGGAGCTCCGAGCTGTCTCGCGTTTTGCTTACAACGAGCCTTCACGGAATCGTAATCGATTGTTAATGAGAGATTTTATCTGTTCATTTCACAAGAAGCAATCAGACAGTTGGACTCACGGTGAAATCCTGTGAGTATGACAGTGTTCGAAGATATGCGCAGGATTTCGGTGCGAACTTGCACGCGAGTGACATTCACGTGGGCAC